TGATTTTTATTACTATAAAAAATCTAAACGACGGGGGGGGTCGGTGACGCGGTGGGCAAGTGACGTAACCGGTGTTGCGGCTTAACAACGGTATCACCGTCAGCACCGTCTATCGCGGCAAGCCTACTGGACGCAGTCATCATCTGGAGCTTATTGGGGTTGGGCCGACCAGGATTTGCAGCGAGGAGTCAAGGACCATCCCAGAATGCATTGCAAACAAACCTAGTGAAGAAAATCCATTCTAGATGGCCAATATTTATTTAAAACATTCTTATTATTCATTAAATTCTAAAAATCAAGTCTAAATAAAATTGTTTGACTGTTTTACTCAATGCTGTGTATTTTTATTATTATTAGAGTAGTGTATGCTGTGTTTAGACTTGTGCTGGTATTCGGTAATGCGATATATCACGGTAATGAATATTTTGATACCGGCATATCCCTAGCTGTGTTGCATGATACATTGATAGCTAAAAGAGGGATATAATGATTTTAGCTATACTAGTGTGCAGAAAGTTGGAGTCTTTTTTTTTTTTTTTGAAAGAAAGAAAGAAATTAATACTTTTATTCAGCAAGGATGCAGTGCATTGCTCAAAAGTGACAGTGAAGTGAATAATGCTATAAAATATGTCCATTTCAAATAATTGCTCTTCTTTGGAACTTTCTGTTCACCAAAGAATCCTTAAAAAAATTCCAGTTTTCACAAAAATATGAAGCAGCACAACTGTTTTCAACATTGATAATAATTAGAAATGTTTCTTGAGCAGCAAATCAGTATATTAGAATGATTTCTGAAGGATCATGTGACACTGAAGACTGGAGTGATGATGCTGAAAATTCAGCTTTGATCACAGAAATAAATTACATTTTTCAATAGATTACAATAGAAAAGAGTTATTTTAAAATGTAATGATATTTCACAATATTGCTGTTTTTACTGTGTTTTTGATCAAATAAATGCAGCCTTGGTGAGCAGAAGTGTATATCACTGTTATCTCAATATTTTTCAGCCTTTTGACAATATGTAATGTCCTCTGTTTTTATATTCACTCTGCATGGATTTCAAGGATGAAAGTGGAACCATCATCTTAAGCAGTTATTTCAGCCAAATGATTCATGATGAAGGTCTCCCGTGTTTTTTTTTTTTTAGGATCTACCGAGAGAAAGTGCGTGACTATCAGTTCAAGCGTCTGAGGTATTACTACGCCGTGGTGGAGTGTGACTCTGTCGAAACGGCAACAAAGATTTACGAGGAGTGTGACGGCTATGAGTACGAGAGCAGCTGCTCGATGATCGACCTGCGGTGAGAACCTCACATTCACGGAGAGATTCCCTCAAAACTATTTAACTGAAACCATCAAGAACATGAAACTGATTTCTAACATTTCTAAGAACTTTGCACTTGTGTACTATTAAAAGATCTCTCATTTCTCTTTATTTGTCATTGGCTCTGGGCGTTTTGCAGGTTTATCCCTGATGACGTGACGTTTGACGACGAGCCGAAAGACCGAGCCACTGATGTGGATTACAGTTCCTACAAGCCCAAACTCTTCACATCGACAGCCACCACCACAGCCAAGGTCCGTCACGCTGAATCCTACATCAGATCTGAGCTGCTGACTCAGTGTACAATAATGTGAGTCTGTGTATCTTGTCATTAGGTGGAGCTGACGTGGGATGAAACGGATCACGACCGGGTCACGGCTCTCTGCAGGAAGTTCAATAAAGATGACCTGTTGGACAATGACTTCAAGGCTTACCTGGCCTCCTCCAGTGAGGAAGAAGAGGATGAGGAAGAGGCAGAAGAACAGATATCCGGTTAGTGATGACTAAATCTCATCTATCAACATTATTCTGAACTGTTACTGGTACTTTTGCATCAATCAGAAATGTTGTTGTGTTGCCTTGAATGTTCTCTCAGCTGAGAAGCCCGCTGAGCCTCTTCCTGAGGAGATCAAGGGCAGTAAAGGGAAGAGGAGCGCAGAGCAGATCGCTAAATACAGAGAACTACTGAAGAGCTTTCAGGACAAAGACAAGGAGAAGGATGACAGCATGGATATGGAAGTCACATGGGTACCAGGTATCAGAGTTTTTAATTTATTTATATTTAATAGATTATTAATTCTAAACATTTTAGTATAAATATTAATAGTAATCTTTTTAAAAAAATAATTTTTAATCGTTTAATTTTTTATTTTATATGTAAAAATATGTATAATAAAAAGATATGTGTTTTTATATTTAATATCAATAATTGTAATTTAATTAATATAATATTTATACTATATTATTAATAATATAATAAGCAGTTTAGTAAATATAATATAAAATATAAAAATAAATTTTTTTATATTACTTTTGTATATAAACAGTATAGAAATAGATATTATTTTTTTATTAATAAATATATATTTAATAAAAAAATATATATTGTATTTAAAAAAATATATATATATGTATATATATATTATAGTAAATATAAACTATATAATATTAAATAAATAAAATAATAATAGATACATGTTATGCAATATTAACATATGTATATGTGTACTTTTTCTAAATGTCTAAATCTAAATATTCATTTCATTGTTTTTTAGGACTGAAGGAAACAACTGAGAAGCTTGTGAAGAAGAAAATGGAGGGCAAAGATCAGCTGACTCCGTGGGAGCAGTACCTGCAGAAGAGAAAGGAGAAAAAGAAAGAGAAAAGGAAAGGAAAGGTAAATGTGTCGCTGAGGAAATAATCATGTTTGTCCTTCATTTCTGTTCCTCTGACCTCACGTATGCTCTTTTGTCTTGTGCAGGAAGCGATGGAGGCGGAGCCTGCGATCAGTGATGATGAACTTCCCGCTGATGTTGACTTTAATGACCCCTTCTTCAAAGAAGAGCTCGGCTCGACAGGTTAGTGACGAGTTTGCACTTGATTCCCCTCATGCTTTATTATATTCATCATGAGAAAGATTCTCACATTCCTTTTGGAAGTATTACATTGTTAGTGCTCTCTCTGTATGTTCTCTGCAGCATCCCTGAAAAATAAAAAGAACAAGAAGAACAGCAAGAAGGATGAGGAGAGGACACCAGAAGAGCTGGAACGACAGAGGGTATGTTTCTCTGATGTTCATGAACGTGTGTTTGTGGGTAATGTATCACGGGTAACGGCTGTGTCGTGGCGTCTAGGCTGAGATGGAGCTGCTGATGGACGACGATGAAGACGACAAGCACAAACATTTCAACTACGACAAGATCGTAGAGCAGCAGAACCTGAGCAAGAAGAAGAGAAAGAAACTCCTGAAGAGCAACACGCCACTGGAGGAGGACGACTTCCAGGTCAGAGTCCCAAAATATCACCTTCACGGATTTAGTCATTTGTGACTTTTAAAAGAGCATTTTTTGTGTGTGTGTGTGTGTGTGTGTGAATCACCGAATCAGAGTTTTGAATCAATTCCCTGAAGAACTGAATCAAACGTATGGACTCTAATGCTATTTCTGCCGTGGTTCTCCAGGTGGACGTTCAAGACCCGCGTTTCCAGGCTATGTTCACGTCCCATCTTTACAACCTGGACCCGTGCGACCCAGGCTACAAGAAAACCAAAGCAACGCAGAGCATCTTAGAGGAGAAACAGAGACGCAGAGAGGAGCGACAGCACAGCCAGGAGGAGGCGCTGAAGAGCAGAGCCGCGCAGGAGAAGGACAAAGCAGAGACGCCGTCATCCTCCACTAAAGCCATGGACCCCAGTTTATCACTGCTTATCAAATCCATCAAGAACAAAACTGAACAGTTTCAAGCGCGCAAGAAACAAAAGACAAAATGACTCTGATAACAAGAGACGAGTCTGAAGTGGATTCATTGCTGATTTATATAACAGGGTTAGTTTTCTGGAGTCACTTTTGTGACTAATTTGTGCTTGGAGACAAAATGAGAAGTTTTTGATCAATAAATATCATACTTTCTCCTAGTTCAAAATTGTGAAAACATGTCTGCTTCAGACTTTTGTAATTGACCTGCCATTTTTTGGATGAAAACATTAAGGGTTTGTTTCCACTGTACACAAAATCTCATTGTACTCGTTTTGCTTGATGAAATGGTTCAGAACGGTGTATCTATGCTTCCCAAACCTGTCCTCCAGGAAGCCAAACTCTCCATTATTTGTATGACCCCCTCATCTAACACACCTGATTGAACTCGTTAGCTCATTAGTAGAGACTGCAAGAGCTGAATTTGACCCGCTGGAATTTGAGGCTAAGTGTATCCCATCATTCATCATGTGCTCTAAAATCATGAGATTTAAGGAAACTTTCCAGTGTAAGTTAAATTAATTAGATATTACATATACTTTTGTAAGTAAAATGCGAAGTGTGGCATATTTTATTGGCGCAGAGATGAGCATGTGTACGTCTTAAAATGCTATTTTGAGTCCAAAGTAGGTCATAAGTGTGATTTGTGTCGATCCAGTAAGTTTTTTTCAAAATTGAAAAAGAGGAGGTGGGTTTGCAAGGAGTCACTCGCAATGAAATGAGAACCATGTTTTGTCATCAAAAAAGAAAAAAAGAAAAATTTGTTTGAAAAAAAATGCATAATTAGTATTGTAATTTTAGTGTTGTTCTGTAAAAAAGATTAAATACTATTTCTTTATTTAATTTACAGCCCAGTAGTAGTATTACTACTATAGTAGTATATTTCTTTAATGTTTCATTAAATTTTTGTAATTTAACAGAATAAACATTATATCATCATCATCATATTATTACTAATTAATGCTTAGTAGTAGTAGTAAGTTTAAGTTGAATTGTGATTTTTTTTTGTGTAGACAAAATTAAACTAAATGTAGAAAAAAAAAAAATAGGGTTGGAACAAAACTCTGGAGGGCTCCGGAATTGAGCTTGACACACCTGGTCTAAAGTAAATATTTTATTTAACTTTTTTCTTTAAAATTTGTTGTTTGCTGCTTTAATTTCGATTCTATACTGATTCCATTTAGAACTTTTAGAATACACAACATACACATGAATATGTACAATTTTGCTAGATGTGAAGGTGAAATTATAAGTAGTCAATCACAAGAAATAGTTTGAACTTCTACATAGAGAAGCTAAATAAAGTCACTTTTGTAGGATATATTTTCAAATATGAGATGTTGCAATTCCCTTTTTCTGCTGTGGCAAAAACAGGTTTCTACTGATTTAAAAAGGGATCGTTCGACCAAAAATTAAAATTCTGTCATCATTTACTAACCCTCATGTCATTCCAAACGTACTTTCAGAACATTAAATATCTTATATAGTTCTTCAAAATACCTTCTGTGTTCCAAACATTGTCATCATTTTCAGTTTTGGCTTAATTTAAGTCGAGAAGAGATTTCTGCTTCCTGTTTTAACAAAGCCAAACAGATTTAGATTCAGAGCGTCACTTTTAATGAAAAATAGACATGGATAAGATGGAGTTAATGTTATCTTTATTCATGTTGACACACAACGCAGCTCACACATTCAAAAAAGTCTGTTGGCACTTTCACGGGCACCTCATTTTCTACATAACAGGAGAAACAGTCTTCCTCACTCGTGCCATATATCAAAGCACAGCTGTAAATCAATGAATGAACACCTCTTACACTTCAAATTCCAGTGAATCTGACCAGTGCTCAGAGCATGTAAAAACATCTCAATTCATGGTCCAGGAATATATAGTGTACATTAAAAAGATCCACTTCACATCATTAAACCCAATCCAGAAAAGGCACGAATGACAGATTTTAGCCAAGTAATGTCAACAACACAGGGCTTGATTTGACCAAATAAAGTGGAACTCCAGTCCAGATCACAAGCATTTCAGAAGTAAAACCAACGGAATGAAATGATTCTAGATTGTGCCACAGTGTTACAAAACCAGCTACTTTATGAGAAATAGTGCAATTAAGGTTTGGCACTGACATACACATGTACGGCATCTGAAAGAGCTCGAGTGCTGTGTTGTGTTTCAGGTTGTTTATCACATATTTTATCACCACAGTATAATTTGTCCAGTTTCCGAAGCAAATGCAAATGGTGCTCGACCTCGCCGCCATGCTGCTAGGCTGTTATGGATGATTGACAGGGTGTTGCTACGTGGTCGCTAAGGTGTTCTGGGTGGTTTCTTACTGGCCTTAGTAAACAATCCCACTGTCTATGATATTCTGGTCTCTATATGGCTCAGGTCCCTCCTTCAGTGTCTTTTTTTGCCCATTTTATAGCGCAAATCCCAAGTCTGATTGTTTGGAAAAGTGACAGAACACCTCGGGTTTTGCACCAAACTTCAAAACTTTGAAGGAATAGCTCCCATAAAATGAAAATTTGCTTAAAATTGACTCTCAGGCCATCCAAGATGTAGATGAGTTTGTTTCTTCATCAGAACAGATTTGGAGAAATTTAGTATTACATCACTTGCTCACTAATGGATCCTCTGCGGTGAATGGGTGCTGTCAGAATGAGAGTCCAAACAGCTGATAAAAACATCACAATAATCCACAAGTAACCCACACCACTCCAGTCCATCAGTTACCATCTTGTGAAGTGAAAAGTTGCATGTTTGCAAGAAACAAATCATTAAGACGTTTTTAACTTTAGTCTGTTGGTTCCAGTTAAAATACGAGTCCTCAATCCATATTATAGCTTTCTCCAGAGGAAAAGTCGTCTCGTCTGAATTAGGAGAGAAATATGCACTAATCAAGCACCGTTTACAAGTGAAAACCATCCAGAACAGTTCTAAACAAATATGTTGGTCGATTTTTGATGTGAGAGGACAACAAGGGATGGACTTTTTTTACTGAAGGAAGTGTTATGAATTATGGATTCATATTTTAAAAGTTAAACACATCATGATGGATTTGTTTTTTTCTCTTTACAAGACATTAACTGATGGACCGGAGTGGTGTGGATTACTTGTGGATTATTGTGTTGTTTTTATCAGCTGTTTGGACTCTCATTCTGACGGCACCCATTCACTGCAGAGGATCCACTGCTGAGCAAGTGATGCAATGATAAATTTCTCCAAACCTGTTCAGATGAAGAAACAAACTCATCTACATCTTGGATGGCCTGAGGATGAGTACATTGTCAGCAAATTTTCATTTTAGGATGAACTATCCCTTTAATAAAATCCATATTTGAGTTTGAGTAATAATAATAATAATAATAGTGATATTGTCTTAATTAGCACCACTAGTTATCCCTCTCCTCATCTTTTCTCTCAAAGTCTTTGTAAAACCCCTCTTAACTTCATGCCGCTTACATACAATGTTGTGTTGCACCAAAATGTTGTAAAATATAGGATTACATGAATATTAAGTAGAGAAAATAAGTTTTCAGCGAAACGCTTCGGGACAAATTGTGCTTCACGTGTTCAGTAAAAAAAATTATACAAACACTTTAGAGTTCAGTAAAATAGTTTCATTACGATACGACACACAAGGCAATAAAATGATTCTGTAGAATAAATCAAGTGTGTGATGTCACAAATTAGCTTTGAAGATATAAAATGATCTTCCTCACAACACAACATGTCTGCTGTTAGTCAGAGCAGGCGGTAAATGATTATTTAGCTTAAACGCTGTCTGTCAGAAAACGTGAACCTCACGTGACCTAGTATGACAGCCTGTTCTAGTACACCCCCAAAACAAAATCAAGACTTTGTAAAAGAGCATAATAGGACCCCTTTAAAACGAAAGGAGACGAGAGATGTTTCAGCAATGCTCAAAAAACTCACTTCATGAGGATTTACGTGATGCAGATGTTGAAGCTTTTAAGTTGTACTTTTGTTTAGCAGACACGTTCTTAATAGCGTCATTTTCAAGAAAGATTTATCCAGCTAAATAAGTGAATCATAATCTCTGCTCTTAACAGAATACAACACACAAAAATGAAAATTAGGTAATTTACTCAACCTCATGTCATCTACTTCACCCATGCACCATTTTCCAAGTGATCTGAAGTCGTATGACAGCTTTTATGTGAGGACATTTGTGTCGTTATTAATTATAAATCATTCACTGAAACCTAATTTGCACACAGATTTTTAACTTGCCATCACATTTAGCTGCAATAACCAACTGCCTTTGCTTTCATCAACATCAAACATTGCAAAACATGTCTTGAAACACCAAATTTTGAATATGTGCTACTGGAAATGAGACTTGAGAGCCTCAACTAATCAATAATAATAATATTAAAAAAAAGGTTTGGGGTTGGTAAATTGTTTTGCTCACCAAGGCTGCATTTATTTATAAACAGTAAAAACAGTAATATTGTGAAATATTATTTCAATTTAAAATAACTGTTTTCTATTTAAATATATTTGAGGATGTAATTTATTCCTGTGATCAAAGCTGAATTTTCAGCATCATTACTCCAGTCTTCAGTGTCACATCATCCTTCAGAAATCAGTCTGATATGCTGATTTGCTGCTCAAGAAACATTTCTTTTTATTATCAATAATTCAGGATAATATCAGGATTCTTTGATGAACAGAAAGTTCATAAAAACAGCATTTATTTGAAATAGAAAACTTTTGTAACATTATAAATGTCTTTACTGTCACTTTTAATCCATTTAATTGGTTATTGTTGAATAAAAGTATTAACTTATTTTTTTTTAAATAGCACTGACCCCAAACTTTTGCACGGTAAAGTGTATTTCATGGTGTAAATTAGGTTTTATGGACCACTTTAAGATTTCTAAGTCTGACTGCCTCAGTCTCCATTGATCCTGGATGGAAACCAGAAGCATGAAGTTTTATGTTGCACAGAAGGCATTGGTTTGGAAGACAATGAGGCTGAGTAAAATGACCGAACTTCATTTTCAGGTGCACTAACACTTCTAATATAGTCTATATGGATTGTCAGTAATCTCTAATAATCTTTTTACAGCCTTTGTGCAAAATCTGAGCAGCACTTCATTAAGGAACAACAAGACTGGGTTCTGATTAATCAATTGTGAACGGGACGCTCTCTCAAGCATAAAATATGAGTTCGGGGATCTGCCCCCCCTGCACACCCGTCCCGTTGGTGCTGTCCGAAGAGCACTGGAACTGGAAGGTCACCTTCCCACACTGGACCTCTGTCATGCCCTCCTGGCCAAAATAACTCAACTCGTTCCCGTCCAGAACCACGCTGGCTGTGTAGAAAGTGTCGGGTTCGATCTGCACCGGGTACTCGAAGAAGACGGGGAAGGTTTGGCTGGAGCCATCGGAGAAGTATTTGATGATGGCGACGCCGAGCGTCACGCCTTGCCGCTTCAGCTCGATCTTGGCCTGGTACTCCGCCGAGCCGCAGCTGGAGCCGTACAGCCCGAACCCGGCGATGAAGACGCGCTTGTCCACGGCGAACTGAATGCTGTCGCAGCGCCCGCGGTATCGCCACTGATTGCTGCGGTAGGCGCAGGACTGAAAGCGGTGGCACCGCTGCGGCGTTAACCCTTTCCGTGGTTTGCAGACGAACTTCAGCTCCGGTTTCTTGGCCGCTGTGTACCACAGGAAAATATCGTTGGTTTCGTTGAGCGTCAGCACGCCGGACTGCGCAACGCCGTTGGCGAAATCATCGAGC